GTTGTTATCACTTATATTGAGCAAATTTAAAGTGTGTGTATTTATTTTATTTCTTAAATATATATTTTTAATTCATTTTATATAAAGCTTTCAATTTTGTCACAATATTTTTGGCCAAAAACTGAAGGCTTTACATAAATGTTTTTTCAACAAAATATAATGTCATTTTTCACAGTTTTTTGTTTTTATTATTGAATTCGAATATTATACAGCTTTAGTTTTTTATTTTTTTTTTTTTTTTTATTTTTAAAGTAAAATTCTTGGCTTACCTAGCTTTGCGTTCCAGTTCTTTAGTTTTAGCATTGCGCGTTAAGACGAAGGGCAAACGATTGGAGACAACGATCAGACTGGCTTTGGTTGAGGGCTCAGCGGCATTGGTCACAATGATCTCCGTGTCGGCCATTTTGTTTGGTCTATATCGTCGCCGATATCGATGCTATATGTATACAGATCGTAGAGGAAGCAATGCACACGGATCAATATCACTTGACTAAATAATTTTTGTTAAGCACATAGTTTGAGAGCAGTCTTAAAGAATTTTAGTAGGAAGTGTTTGGGTAAAGCTCTGTGGCACCTTCCTTTTGGGCCTTGGACTTGTGTACGCTACGCTGTGTGGCTCACAACTGATTATTAGATTAATCTGAAGAGCCACACGAAATGCACTGGCTATCTGGATGCAACGATGTAGACGGCTATGTGGACGGGGCTTATCAAAGAGCCACCTCTATATATACTCCTCGTATGCATATATGTATATATATTCTCATATATATGAATATATATAAATAAACGAACAAAGCGTACGCTTACCGTAGAGAGATGAACACAGAGAACACGTTTCGCGTTTGCCGAAAAAGAGCGCTGAAGCAAAATTTCTAATTGCACGGCCAAATACTTCGCCGCACACTTTCCGGCTGCTCTAACTTATCAGTGTAAACTGCAGCTCGCAACTGGAAAAACAGTTGATTTTGTTTTTTTCCGGCTGGCCTTTTAAGATTCCCGCGGTAGCCAGCAGCAGATCCGTACCCAGCCAAAAATAGACGAGCACTAATGCCAATCTCTCGCTCAGCTCGCAGTTTTCTTGAAAAAATCAAATGTGCTCAGGTTCCACAGAGTCCACAAAGCTTGGCTTATCAGAAAATCGCCGAGTCTGTTCTATAATCAATCTGTATACACTTGCAGCTCGTTATGTATGTGCGAAAGCGTGCTGGAAGCTTCATTAGAGTTCCACAATAGAGTCATGATTACAACTGCTTGGAAGCTCAGTTCAGTTTCCATTTGTATAATCTAACTTGAGGATCAAGGAGTGAATAATTTACATGGCTAAAGTTTATAAGAGAACTAGACCAAGTACTATCATTAGCAAGTCAGTTCCAGCTGGCTGAGTCCGGTTCTATCAGGCATTTGTATTGTCAATAAGTCGTTATGCGTGTTGATATTTACTTTGCTGCCCGAATCATACATAATTCAATTTCTATTTTTGGATTCAAAGCTTCACTTGGTTGCAGTGAAATTGCAAATTGTAAGGCTTAACCCTAACTTAACCTTGTGACAACCTTATATACAATTAATTGTCGGTTAAACATTAGTTTAATAACAGTTTCAAATAAATAAAGAGAGAAAGAGAAAGACAGAGAGATAGAGATAGACAATACTGATAAGCGTTGATCGCACTGTGCAATCGCTTGCATTGTTTATGCAATGCATAGCAGATTTAGATTTGGCTAATTACGTAGGGATTAGGTACAGTTTCAAGCTATGTATGTGTGTGTGTGTGCGCCTAAGCATCACTGAACTTGAACGCTTGATCATGTCTGGCATTCATGCGCTTATCATGACGCTAAACCTACGGTTTACGTGATGCCTGGAATTTGCAATAACATTTATTTGAGCAAATCAATTCTTAGTCATTTGCCTCCTGCATTTGATAACCCGTTCAAGGGTCGCTTGAATGCATTTATTTATATTTACATTTAATTGCTGTTTGACGCAAGCTCTATTTAAAGACGCAAAAAAGTAACGGCTGTAGCATAGCAGGCAGCTAATGTCTGCTGCTGCTGCTATCGATCGCACTTATTGGCGCGCTTTTCTAGACACATCGATAACTTTTTTCGCATTGTTTATTTACATTGGCATAAATACAAACTAAACATGGATCCTTCAATTATTGAGTTTATTGGCGAGAAATCCATGATTAGTATTATTCCCAACTTCTCAAATGAACCGCTGCATCTCGTTTATGGCTCGGTGGGTCCATTTCGTGCTGGCTTTCCAGTTTTTGTGCCCCTGTGGCTTGCCACACATTTGCGAAAGCAACAAAAATGCCGAATTGTGCCGCCCGAATGGATGGAGCTGGAAACACTGGAGGAGATTAAGGAGGAAGAGAAGCGCTCCAAGTGAGTTCACAAATGATAATAATCTGTATATTTTACTCAATTATATGCATTGGTCTTAGATTCTTCACAAAGATGCCCAGCGAGCATTACATGGTAGTCGCTCAACTGGTCATGAGCACAGCTCCAGATGATGTGCCACGCTGCGAGGAGCTGCGCACTATTATTAAGGACATCTTCGACATACGTGAATCTAAACTGCGCACCTCTATCGATGCCTTTATCAAGGGCGAAGGAACCTACGCCAAGCTGGATAATTTAACGCTCTTAGAAATTCACAGTGTTCGTCCTATTCTGCCCTATTCCCTGGATCACATAGCGCGCTACCAAAGAATGGCCACTGCCTCGCAGCGAGATACCTCTATGTTGGGCTTAAACACAACGGGCAGCGCTTCAGGCACAGGCTCTATGAGCAATTCCCTTTTTACACAGTAAAAATTGGTGATAAATAAGCTTAAGTTTAATTTTAGATAAATAAATATAAATCAGAGAAGAATCAATTTAAATCATTCTTTAGTTTTTGTAATAAAAAATTATTTTTATTTTTCATTTCGTTCTTTGTTAACAGTTTCAGGATGTATTCTCTTCACATGTCTGCATAGGTTATCCCAGCGAGGCGTTACAAACTTGCAACCAGCAATAATACACACATGCAGCTCGACACCTGCACCAGGATTCTCCATGTGCCTGACAATATGTCGCTTAATATTATAACAACGATTCGTACGATAGCTGCAACTGTTGCATTCATACGTTTTAGTTTTTCCCTTCTGATAGGTTTTTCTGCAATAAAACAAATTAATTATATATGTACATATCTGTATGTCGAATAGTTTGTTACTCACTTCGGCTTAACAATATTTTGTTTGTTGATTTTGGTTTCTTTCTTTGACTGTGCTTCACTTATTGGCTCTGGATACTCTTCCATTGACTCGTCATTCTCATCATATGGCAGTGATGCTTGGTCATCGTCCACAGAAGCAAACTCCTCTTCCTCTTCTTCTTCATTCACTGGAGATTCAATACTTCGTGCAGTTGATAGATTTCCATCGTCGCTGAGCGTGGGCTCCTCTTGACATGACATTTTAGTCTCTTTCTTTTTTTTTGTCTTTGTAGTTGTATTGATCGATTCACGATGTATTCCTTGTCTGTGTCGTATGAGATTATCCCAACGCAATGATGTGAAGGAGCAGCCAGCATATGGACAAATGTGCTGCAGCTCCATTGGAGGTTTCTCGTAGTGGTTGACCAAATGTCGTTGAACATTGTAGGCGCGATTGGTTTGATAGCTGCATTTTGGGCATTTATATATTGTAGCTGATTTCGGTGCTTTCTTGGGCACTATTACTATAACATCATCTTCCATTTTCTTCTTTTTTTGCTCTAAAATTAAACCTAAATATAAGAATTCACATTAGGAAAAAGCAGCTATCAGAGAACTTGACTTACTTACCGCCAAATATTGAAGTTTAAGAAAAATATCATATACAAGCTTAGTTCTGGTTAAACATTATTAATTGATTATCGCGAAGAAAGCAAA